GAGGAGCGCTCAAAACGAACAGTGCGTGGCCTCTCGCGGGGTCTTCCGAGGCCTCTCTCGGGCTCTCTTCGAAGTTCCTGAGATCTTCTTGGGCCCCTCTGGGTGGCTCCTCGCGGCTTCAAGGCCCTCTTGGTAGGGGCCTCCTGGGCGCCAGGACGGAACCAAGAAGAGCTTCATGGTGTTCGTTTTGAGGGGCGCTCAAAACGAACAGAGCGCGGCCTCTCGCGGGGCCTTCCTACGCCTCTGGGGGGGGGGGCTCTCTTCGAGGCTGCTGAGATCTTTTTGGGTTCCTTTGGGAAGCTCCTCGCGGCAAGGCCGTCTCGGTAGGGGCCTCGAGGGCGCCAGGACGGAACCGAAAAGAGCTTCGAGGTGTTCGTTTTGAGGGGCGCTCAAAGAACAGTGCCCAGCCCCTGGTGGGGTTTTCCCGGGCCTCTCTCCGAAGCGTCTGAGATCTTCTTCGGCTCGTTTGGGGGGGTCGTCGCGGCTCCGAGGCCCTCTTGGCAGGGGCCTCGAGGGCGCCAGGACGGAAACAAACAGAGCTTCGTGGTGTTCGCTTTGAGGGGCGCTCAAAACGAACAGTGCCCAGCCCCTGGTGGGGCCTTCCCTGGCCTCTCTCGGGCTCTCTTCGAAGCGTCTGCGATCTTCTTGCGCTCCTTTGGGAAGGTCCTCGCGGCTTCAAGGCCGTCTCGGTAGGGGCCTCGAGGGCGCCAGGACGGAACCGAAAAGAGCTTCGTGGTGTTCGTTTTGAGGGGCGCTCAAAACGAACAGAGCGCGGCCTCTCGCGGGGCCTTCCTAGGCCTCTGTCGGGGCTCTCTTCGAAGTTCCTGAGATCTTCTTGGGCTCCTTTGGGGGGCTCCTCGCGGCTCCAAGGCCGTCTCGGTAGGGGCCTCCGAGGGCGCCAGGACGGAACCAAAAAGAGCTTCGTGGTATTCGTGTTTAGGGGCGCTCAAAACGAACAGAGCGCGGCCTCTCGCGGGGCCCTCCTAGGCGTCTCTCGGGGCTCTCTTCAAAGTTCCTGAGATGTTGTTGGGATCCTTTGGGAAGCTCCTCGCGGTGTCAAGGCCGTCTGGGGAAGGGCCTCGAGGGCGCCAGGACGGAACCAGAAAGAGCTTCCAGGTGTTCGTTTTGAGGGGCGCTCAAAACGAACAATACCCAGCCCCTGGTGGGGCCGCAAAGAACCGCGAATGCGCGGGGAAAAGCACGCACCGGGAGCTCGCAGGGAACCTCGTCAGCAGGAACGGGGGAGGCTGCTGAGCTTCCAGGGACGTCGAAGGGGCCATTTTGGGCGCGCGGGGGAGGCCGCTGAGCTTGCAGGGCGCCTCCGGAAGCATCTCGGAGCGCCGGAAGAAATCCCAAGAGAGCCCGGAGGAGGCCGTGGAGGGCCGGAAGAGGGCCCCGAGGCGCCAGAAGGGCCGGACAGGGGGCCCGAGGCAACCGAAAAGAACGCGAGGGCGCGGGGAGAAGCACGCACTGGGAGCTGGCAGGGAACCTCGTCAGCAGGAACTTGAAAGTGGCTCGTTTTCCAGAAGGAATGCATCTTTTTCCTTGGACCGTCTGGGGGTCCTCTTGGGAACCTCTTGGACCGTTTTAGATCGGTCTTGGATGCCTCTGGGGGGGTTCGGAGCGTCGGGAAGCCGTGGGAGGCCTATTGGACCGTTCCTGAGGCGGTCCCCTGGTCCGCCCCCCTCTCTTCGAAGCAGTTTGGAAGCCCCGTGGCGCCTCTTGGAGACCTCTGTTGGGCTCCTGGGGGCCTCGTGGGCCTCTCTGGGCTCGTCTATCGCGCCCCTTGGGCTGTCATGGGGCCCCCGAGGGCCTTCTTGGGCGGTCCTCGGGCCGTCTTGGAGCCATCTTGGGCCGCTCTTCGGGCCATCTTGGGGTCCCGTTGGCCTGTCTTGGGCGCCTCTGGGGCCGTCCTGGGGCCGCCTTGGACCGTCTTGGGGCTCTCTTGGACTGTCTGGGGGTCCTCTGGGGGGCCTCGTGGACCGTCTTGAAGCGGTCTTGGATGCCTCCGGGGGGGTGTCGGAGCGTCGGGAAGCCGAAAAAGCGAGGAAGCAAAAAAGCATCGGGAAAACCAATGAAAAACAACAATTTTGGCCTCTCGGGGCTCTCTCGGGAGGCCTCTTGGGAGGCCTGTCGGGCCGTCTTGGGGAGCTCTGGGGCCGTTTGGGGACCTCTTTTGGGCTCCTGGGGGCCTCTTGGGCCTCTGGGCTCGTCTATCGCGCCCCTTGGGCTGTCTTGGGGCCACCTAGGGCCTTCTTGGGCGGTCCTCGGGCCGTCTTGGAGCCATCTTGGGCCGCCCTTCGGGCCATCTTGGGGTCCCGTTGGCCTGTCTTGGGCGCCTCTGGGGCCGTCCTGGGGCCGCCTTGGACCGTCTTGGGGCCCTCTGGGACCGTCTTGGAGCGGTCTTGGATGCCTCTGGAGGGGGGGTTCGGAGCGTCGGGAAGCCGAAAAAGCGAGGAAGCAAAAACCTCGGAAAAAAAACAAATGAAAATCAACGTTTTTGGCCTCTCGGGGCTCTCTTGGGAGGCCTCTTTGGAGGCCTGTTGGGCCGTCTTGGAGGGCTCGTGGGCCGTCTTGGGCCAATCTCGGGCGTCTTGGCCGGATCATTGCGCGTCTCGGGGCCCTCTTGGGCCGCCTTCGGGGCATCTTGAGCGGGTCGGAGCCGTCTTGGAGCGGCTCGGAGCCGTCTTTGGGCCGTCGGGGCGGCCTCCGGAGCGTCTCGGAGCCGTTTCCCGGCATTTGGCGCTTTTTCCTTCCGGCATGCGGTTCCTCTGGCCATATAGTATAGACTAGTGTGAACCCGTGGAAAATCTACGGCCCGCAGGTCCAGGCGTTGGTCCCGAACTCGCACGTGTCGCCGAAGCCTCAAGTGACCCCCAGCAGGGCCCAGCACAGCCGCAGATGCCGCCCACGGGAGCCCAACGCGAGGTCCGAGACGGCCTCACACCCCCAAGATTGCCCCAAGCCGCCCCACGAGGCGCCCGACCCAAGAGGGCTATCGTAACCGATTAAGGCCGGGCGTGGAGGTCTCAAAAAGCATCTGGTTTTCGCTAATCGCGCCCGGCCTCTCCGCGATTAGCGAAAATCCGAAGGTTCTGGCCATTCCACTGCGCCAGGATTGGCCCCCACACGTACCCCAAGGCCTTGGACACCGCCCAAGACGATCTGAGTTTCCCGAGGTTTCGGCCCCCCAGGGCCCTGCATCGATACAGCCAAGGGTGCGGGTGCTGGGATACGTAGGGCCCCCGAACCGGCTGTAGTGGCCTGCGGGCAATCTCGCCGCGGGCCTGGGTAATGGGCAAGAGATCTCGTGGATGTTGGTTGGGATCTCGTGGTTGGCCTCTCGGGAGCCTCTGGGAGACAGTTTGAGGGCTTCTTGGTAGCAGTTTGGGGGCGTCTTGGGGCCTCTTGGGTCCTCTTTTGGGGCCTCTGGGGAGCCTTCTGGGGCGCTTGGCGGCCTCTGGGGGGCCTCTTGGAGCCTCTTTGGGGCGTCCGGGGGCCTCCTGGGGAAGTCTTGGGAGCGTCCCGGCGTTTCTTTGTGGCGTCTTGAGGCTTCCTGAGGGCCTCTTGGGGTGGAGGCATAGATTTTTCGGTTCCGGGTCCCTGTCTTGGGCCTCTCTTGGGGCCTTCTTGGGGCCCTCTTGGGCCGTCTTGGGCAACTCTTGGGCCGTCTTGGGGCCCTCTTGGGCCGTCTTGGGGCCGTCTTGAAGGCCTCTTGGGCCGTCTTAGAACGGTCTTGGGGGCCTCTTGAGCGGCCGTGGAGCGTCGGACAGCCGAAAAAGCGAGAAGGCCAGAAACATTAAAAAAACAAAGAAAATCAACGATTTTGGCTTCTGCGGCCCCTCTTGGAGGTGCACTTCGAGCGCTCTGGGGGCCTCGTGGAGGCGTCTCAGGCCGTCTTGAAGGCGGCGTCTTGAAGCCATCGTAAGCGTCTCAGATACTTTTAGACCGTCTTGGGCCGTCTTCGGGACCTCCTGAGGCCGTCTTGGGGCGATCTGGGAATCCTGGATCAGTCCGCGAGCGGTCCGGGGGCCTCCCGGGCCCGTCGGGCAGCGGCCCGGAGGCTCTCCGGGCGGCCCGCGCGAGCTCTCTGGGCGGCCCGGGGCGCTGCCACTGCTCGTACTTCTCGCGCGCGCTTCGCCCGGAATCGCAGTACAGATGACGCTGGGCTCCAGCATGGCCTCCCACATCTCACTGAGCACTGACAGCGCGTGTTGCCATTGCCTGCCTTTTCCGCATGCGCTGATAGTTGCAACCTACTGGCTTAGAACGGCTTGCGCGCCTGATCGAATTCCTTCGCGGAGCAACCACAGTGCTGCGTTCCATTGTTTTGTTCGACCGCAGCTTTTGATCGACGCTTCGAGGGAAATAGCGCCTTCTCGAGACCCTCGACCGATGTCCAACATCCTAGAAGGTACATCCAGAAAGACACGACACCGCAGCTGGTTAAGCCCGACATGGATGTGAGTCCAATCCAGTCTTGAGCCCAATATGGTCTTGAGCCAACATGGCTTGAGCCAGAATGGCCTTGAGCCAAAATGGCTACGGAGGAGGAGGAGGAGGAGGAGGAGGAGGAGGAGGATTCTGGGATTCTGGGGGTTCTGGGTATGACGCGCCACGAAATCCGCGCGTCCCACGAAAATGCGAGCAAGTGGAAGCACCATGCATCAGGGATCCGGGTAAGGGACTAGCACAAAGTTACCTTGAAGGGCAGTTCCCACAATATGGGCACCACCAATTGTGTATCCTGGCCTAGGGTTTCGCCCGTCCATCGAATGCTGCAGGCAGGAGGAGGAGGAGGACGAGGAGGAGGGGTGGGAGGAGGAGGAGTGGGATGATGAGGGGGAGGGGAAGGAACACTACGAGGATATTCTCTCGTCGTTCGTATTCTGCATATCTGAGAGAGCAAATGCTTTGGCAGATGATGATGATGACTTCTGCAATTTTGTGGAACCGCAGACTGAAAGTCGCTCGACGTATCCCGCAGACCACTCGATGCCTCAAGCGCCCAGATTCGTGACGCGCAGCGGCACGACGTCGGAAAAGGCGACCTGGAAGACCTTATCCTCTGCCTCGAGCTCGTTGATCTTCAGTTGCAAGCGATCCTTGGGACCCCCCGAATCGCTAACGAGAATCTGGAAGCCAGGGCCAGGGCGGTGGACGGGCAGGGGGAGAGGTGGGGGGAGGCGTCGATGGAAGAGGGGAGGAAAGAGCAAGAGGGAATGATGAACGAGGAAGGGAAGGAAGAATAACGGAATTAGCCTGACGAAAGACCCAACCATATGCAGCTGCGAGAACCGCGAGCGAGACGAGACGAAGGAAGGGGGGCACGCAAACCCCGAAGAGCGCACGCGGTACACTCTCTGCTCGCAGGCAGCGCGCCGCAGGAAGAACGCGGCGGGGGGCAGTGCGGGCAGGGCGGGGGGGGGGGGGACGAATGGGTGGGACGTGTGCGAACTTCCGGTGGAGCTCCCCATGGGCCACGAAGCGTGTGATGGGTGTGCCAGAATGGGCGGGGGGGGCGCATGCGAACGTCGCCGCTGGGGCCTTCGGTGGAGCTCCCTGTGGGGCTACGAAACGTGTGAGGGGTGTGCCAACATGAGTCGGTCGGACGCATGCGGGCACCCCCACTGGGGCCTTCAGTGGAGCTCCCTATGAGGGCACGAAAAATATGAAATGGTGTGCCGAAAGGGGTGCGGCGAACGCATGTGGCCGCGCCCGCTGGGGCCTTAGGTGGAACTCACTATAGGGCCACGAAACGTGTGAGGGATGCGCCGAAACGGGTGTGGCAGACGCATGTGGCCACCCTCACTGGAACCTTCGGTGGAGCTCCCTATGGGGCCACGAAGCGTGTGAGGGGTGTGCCAACATGAGCCTGTCTGACTCATGCGGGCCCCCCCACTGGAGCCTTCGGTGGAGCTCTCTACGGGGGCACGAAACGTATGAAGGGTGTGCCGAAATGGGTGCGGCGAACGCATGTGGCCGCTCCCGCTGGGGCCCTAGGTGGAACTCCCTATAGAGCCACGAAACGTGTGAGGGATGTGCCGAAACGGGTGTGGCGGGCGCATGTGACCACCCTCACTGGGGCCTTCGGTGGAGCGCCCTATGGGGCCACGAAGCTCTGTACTGGGTGTGGCGGTGGAGCCGCCTATGGGGCCACGAAGCGCTGAACTGAGTGTGATGGACGCATGCGGGCACCCCCACTGGAGCCTTCGGTGAAGCGCCCTATGGGACCACGAAACGCTGTACTGGGTGTGGCGGACGCATGCGGGCACCCCCACTAGAGCCTTCGGTGGAGCGCCCTATGGGGCCACGAAGCGCTGTACTGGGTGTGGCGGACGCATGCGGGCACCCCCACTTGGGCCTTCGGTGGAGCTCTCTATGGGGCCACAAAGCGCTGTACTGGGTGTGGCAAGACGCATGCAGGCACCCCCACTGGGGCCTTCGGTGGAGCTCCCTATGGGGCCACGAAGCGCTGTAGTGGGTGTGGCGGACGCATGCGGGTCCCCCGATGGAGCCTTCGGTGGAGCTCCCTATGTGGCCACGAAGCACTGCACTGGGTGTGGCAGGACGCATGCAGGCACCCCCACTGGGGCCTTTGGTGGAGCGCCCTATGGGGCCACGAAGCGCTGTACTGGGTGTGGCGGACGCATGCGGGTCCCCCCAATGGAGCCTTCGGTGGAGCTCCCTATGGGGCCACGGAACGTTGCACTGTGTGTGGCGGACGCATGCGGGCACCCCCACTGGGGCCCTCGGTGGAGCTCCCCATGGGGCCACGAAGCGCTGCACCGAGTGAGGCAAGATGCATGCAGGCACCCCCACTGGGGCCTTCGGTGGAGCGCCCTATGGGGCCACGAAGCGCTGTAGTGAGTGTGGCGGGCGCATGCGGGTACCCCCACTGGAGCCTCTGGTGGAGCTCCCTATGGGGCCGCGACTCGCTGCAGTGGGTGCGGCGGACGCATGCGGGCATCCCCATTGGGGCCTTCGGTAGAGCTTCCTATGGGGCCACGAAATGTTGTACTTGGTGTGGCGGACGCATGCGGGCACCCACACTGGGGCCATCGGTGGAGCTCCCTATGAGGCCACGAAGCGCTGTACTGGGCGTGGCGGACGCATGTGGGCACTGCCACTGTGGCGTTCGGAGGAGCTCGCTATGGGGCCACGAAGCGCTGTACTGGGTGTGGCGGACGGATGCGGGCACCCCCACTGGGGCCTTCGGTGCTTCGGTGGAGCTCACTGTGGGGCCACGAATCGTGTGAGGGGTGTGCTGAAATGGGTGTGGCGGACGCATGTGGGCACTGCCACTGGGGCATTCGGTGGAGCTCGCTAGGGGGCCACGCAACGTGTGAGTGGTGTGCCGAAATGGGCTTGGCGGACGCGCGTGGCCACCGTCACTGGGGCCTTCGGTGGAGATCCCTATGAGACGAAACGTGTGAGGGTTTGCCGAAATGGTGGACATGTGGTGAGCCTAGGCAGGGATGGGAGGGGGGAGGGGGGATGGGGAAGAGGAAAGGAGAGGAGAGGAGAGGAGAGGAGAGGCGATGGGCGGAGAGGAAAGAGGAGGCGCGGGGCGCTGCCTCTTCAAAGCGAGGGAGGACCCACCACCGCAGGATTGTTGGGAAAAGGGGCAGCGGAGGAAGAGGAGCGAGGAAGGATGAAGAGGGAAGGGGGAGGGAAGGAAGTGGAGGGAAGGGGGAGGGAAGGGGAGGGAAGGGGAAGGGGAGGAAGTGGAGGGAAGGGGAGGAAGTGGAGGGAAGGGAGGGAACGATGAAGGATGAAGAGGGGAAGGGGGAGGGAAGGGGGAGGGGAGGTAGGTGGAAGGAAGGCGGCGAAAGATCTTCGCCCTTCTCGGCGCCCCGAAGCCGCTTTTCGGTCGTGGGCCACAGCAACAGCGGCTCGGCACGACGAGCAAAGAGCCAGGGGAGGAGGGGGAGGAGGAGGAGGAGGAGGAGGAGGAGGGAGGAGGAGGAGGAGGAGGGGAGGAGGAGGAGGAGGAGGAGGAGGAAGGAGGAGGAGGAGGAGGAGGAGAGGAGGAGGAGGAGGGGGAGGGGGAAAGGGCTGGGGGCCCACGGCTCGAGAAGATCGAGGCGACTGCGCTCCGGGGAGGTGGGGGACAAGGGGGAGCCTCTCGGCCACCCCACTTTGCAGCCTCATGATCTTCTCATGTAACCTCTTCTGCTCTCGCTTGCACCGCTGATTTTCCGCAAGCCCATCCTGATTCGGTACCGTGTTCACTCCAGCGTTGAAGACCGCCTTGTTCAGGTGGCCTGTCGCGTTGGTCAAGATGGCGTCCTCGAGATAGCGGTCCTCAGCTAGCATGGCGCGGGCCTGAGCGATCATCGCCTGGGCAAAGCTTATCATGTTGTTCACCTTCTGCGTTGTCGTGACGATGGCGGCCAGCTTTTTGGGATCGGACACCTGACCAGCCTCCATCTCTTACCCCCCCCTCCTCCTACTACTCCTCCTACTCCTCCTTCTCAAATTTTCCTCCTCCTCCTCCTCCTCCGCGGCCTCCTCCTCCTCCTCCTCCTCCTCCTCCTCCTCCTCCTCCTCCCAAGCCGCCTCGCGTTCCCCTCCCTCTACCTACCTCTTTCCGATGCTTGAATTACCCATTCCCATAAACGAATGACTCGTCCAACGTGTCGGTAGGGCGGGCCGGGCGTTTTGTCTGATCATCGACAAGAATCTTGACAGGCCGAACAACTTCTGAGGTGGAAAGCAGGTTGCTTTCCAATAAGGCGATTGCCTTCGCGTCGCGCACACTCGTCCTAAAATTCCACAACCGTTACACGGACCTGCAAGGGAGGTCGTGTTCAAAATGTGGCTCTCACCTCAGCGCAGCGCACATCCGTCCGAAAAACAACTGCAATAGTTACACGGATGGAGGATGGTTCCATTTCAAACGGGGTTGTCGCGTGAGACATCCCCATGTGTTATGGACCGAAGCTTCATCATGCTGTACAACCGGTGCACGGATGGAGGTCTCGTTTGAGACTTCCTCTGGATGCATAACCCGAGATGAAGAAGTGTACCGCTTTTACATGGGATGTAAGACGACTCCTTTTCAAAATGAGGTTCCCGCTTGACGGATTCCCTTGAATGCTCTAGGCTACACAATGACAGGTCTAACACTCAAAGGATGGAGGACGGCTTCTTTTCAAACGACGGGACCCTCCTCTGAATAATTAGAAGGCTCATGGGGCGCTTATCTTACAACGGGGCGTTCCCCGCACTGAGAAAGGATACTTACAGTGTCATGGAAGCCTTGTCTTCCTCCTGACTCCCTCCCTTTCCTGCTGCTGCTGCTGCTGCTGCTGCTGCTCCGCATCCGCTCATCCTTCTCCTCCATGTTACCCGCGACGCTCCTCCTCCCCGGGGCTTCGGGATACCAGCGAAGGTCTGTGCTTTCAAGGTTTCTCTTAAAGGATGCTACGCCTTCTTCCCCTCCCTCTCTCTTATTACTGTCTTCGGTTTCAGTTATCTCTCCTCCTCCTCTTTCTTCTCCACCTCCTCCTCCTCATCATCCCCCTCTTCCTCCTTAGAAAGGAACCCTTAGTAAGACATCCTTATTAAGGAATCCTTCGTCGGGAACCCTTAGTAAGGTTTCCTTACGAGGTGAGCCTTACTGAAGGTTCCTTCATAGTAGATCCGTATTACGAAAGCGTTGAAAACGAATTTTTGTTCTGGAATCCCTAATAAGAAATACAGCGCAACAGATCCGCAGTAAGGAATCAATGCAAAAGAACACTTGTTTAGGATGCTTTAATCATGGAGCCGTAATACATCGTAATACAAGACCTTCGTACGGAATCCGTACTAACGAATTTTGAATACGGGATCGTCAATATGGAATCCGTGATAAGGATTCCTCAGGAAGAAATCCTTTTGAAGGAGTCTTTCGTAGGAGAGCCTGAGAAACAAAAAAACTTCCTTACCAGGTAACCCTTACTTAAAAATCCATGATACTGGATCAGGGTTTTCCTCCATAAAGAATCATCACTAATGAGTCCTTAGTATGGAATATAATATAAAAGGGGATTATTACTCAGACTTCCGTAGTGAAGCCTGCTTCGTAATGAATCCTTAGTACAGGAATCCTTGTATATCCTTGTTGAGGGGTGCTCCAGGAGGAAATCTGCATAATGAGCCCTCACTAGATGCAACAAGTGTGCTGGAGCCTGCGTCGTGATTTTACCAAGCCGTTGCGCCCTGGGATCCGACGTCGCGGAATACAAAAGACATCGTGAAAAATCACGACAGGAGCCTTCGGCCCCATATTTCTGCGGCACGCCTGGGGCTGGATCTATCTGCGGGGGCACCGTGGACCGAAGCCAGGCGAAGACGCCCAGCGCGGAAAAAACGCGACGCAAAGATCTCAGATGTCGGAAACTGGACCATATACATTACCAGTGGCGGGCTGTTTTCCGGTCCCAGAACTTTCTGAGGGTCGGGGACGACGTCGGAGTGGTTTGGTGTATACAAGTTTCCCCGTCTTCCCGTGGAAACAACGAAAAGTGTATACGCCAGGATCCCGTATACACCAGGGTCCGCTTTCCGGTGTATAGAGTCCGGCTTTTCGTCCCTTTGCAAGAACTTCGGCTTCAGCACCGTCTGTATCCGAGGCTATGCCTCCTCTCGGCATCGCTCTGAGGCTCCGCCGCTTCCTCCCTCCTCTTCTCTGCCAAATTCAAGCTTCGCGCGGCCCGCTTAGCTTCGACCGGAAGAGGTGCGCCCTCGACCCGCGGATCAAAAAAGTGTATAGCGTCCGGCTCCTTCGTGCCCATCTCGTTCGTGCAGATAAGATGGGGGAGGTCCGAGCCGCCCCGGCAGGCCCGAGGTGTGCTCGGCTTGCGGGCGGGGCTGGCCCCCGGAACCCCACGGGCGCCTGCACCAGCGCCGCGCTGCCCTCGGGCCTGTCGCACGGGACCGCCCACGGCTCGTCGTCAGCCTCCGGTGGGCCGTTTGCCCTCCCTCCCGCCGCCTCGCCCTCCACCTATGATTTCGCCTCGCCCCTCCTCTCCTTTTCGTTTTTCTCGTCCCTGTTCCTGCGTCCTGCACGCCGTCTCCTCCTCCTCCTCCTCCTCCTCCTCCTCCTCCTCCTCCTCCTCCTCCTCCTCCTCCTCCTTGTCTGTGAGGCGCCCGCCTGCACTCCTGCGCACCCTGACCACCACGAGCAGGGCGGCGAAGGAGAACGCGACCACGACGACCCGGCAGCCGCCCGCGAGCGCCATGCAGCTGGGCCGCTTCGGCCGCGCGCACCGCGGCGGCACGGCCCTCCCGGTCAGCGCCCAACGCTGTCCGCTGCTGGCGGGCCGTGGCGCGGGGCAGCGCCGCCGCCAGTTCGCGGCCCCAGCGGCTCATCAGGGCGCCGGCGGCTGTCGGCGCGGCGTCGTCGCCCAGTAGGGTCGCCTCCCCCCGGGCCAGCTGGCGCAGGTGCTGGAGGGCTGCCAGCCCGTGGCGGCTGCAAATTTCCAACGCGGGGGGGACCATGCCCCGCGGGGATTGGCCCGAAGGGAAGCGGTGGCGCTTGTCAGCCTCCGTCGCGGCGTTGGCCGCGCCGCCGCGTCGTGCCGCAGCAGCCAAGCCGCCCGCGCTGTGCCGAACCGTGACATCCAGGTACAGGCGGGGGCAATCCGCCCGCTGCGCCTCGACGTCGAGAATCACCTCCCCGCGCTCCGAGCGCAGGGCGGCCCCGCAAATGGCGCAATGGCCCACCGGGCGGGCCGCCACCTCCCTGCCAGCGCCGCAGACGGTGAGGTCCAGCGCCAGGGATCCCGAGCAGGGACGTGCACCTGGCGCTCCACGCGGAAGCCGCACTCCGCGTGGATGCGGGCCCAGGCGGGCTCCAGGTCGCAGAGGCGCGCCTTGGTCCCGCCCTCGGCGGGGCAGCGCCATGCGTGGCGCGCCGCGTCGCATAGCGGCTCCCCGCAGCGTTGGCCAGCCCTCCCGCCCGTCCGCGCGACGTTGCAGGTCGCGCCCAGCGGGCCCGCGGCCTGGCCCAGGAGCGGTGCTGCAGCAGTCCGCGTCGTCGAGCCGCTGCGCGTCCGCTGAGGCGGTCTGCCAGGCTCCTGCGGCCCCAGGGCCTGCAGCAGAGAAGTCTAGCTTTTCTGGTCAATCCTTGCTATCAGGGCCTTCTGGAGTTTTTGGCGAAGCGTGTGCGCCAATTCCGGCCAGGCGGGCAGCTCGGCTGGCCTCGCGCCAGGGCGGGGCGGCGGCGACGCCAGCTGCGCGAGCCTGGCAATCGCGTCGCGGCAGGCCTCCTGTGTGCTCCCTTACCCCGCGCAAGCTCTGCGCCCAGGAGCCGACCCAGGCGGCCGGCGCAAGCTGTCGCTGACTGCGAAGGCCGCGCCCGCCGTGCCGCAGCAGCAGTCGGAATTGCGCTCGCTGCGCCTCCGTCAGCGGGTCGAGGCGCGCGTCCTCCTGGTAGGCCGCCAGCAGGGCGTCGTCGTAGGCCGCGGCGGCAGCCTGCGAAACCTCTTGGGCGCTCGTGCGCAGCAGGGGCGTGAGCTTGCTGGCGCCGCAGCTCCGGAGCAGGAGGCTGGTCGTTTGCGTCGCTGGCAGGTGCGGCGAGGCCGTCGCCAGGAGGGCCGCGAACCTCGCCTGTAGTTCCACCGCTCGCTCCGTCGTCTCCGCGCAGCGCGCCGCCGCGTTGTCGGCCGTGCCGAGGTCGACCTGGCGCGCGTCGCTCTCGTCTGGCAGCCCTCCAGGAGATAGAGGCAGCACTCCCACGAGGGCCAGGCTCTGCGCTCGCCGCTGCTCCTCCAGCGCGGGGGGGGCAGGCGGCCCAGGCAGACCAGGCCTGCGCCGCCTGGGCCTCGCCTGCGAGCGCCGATGGGACCAGCACGACGACATCATCCAGGTAAGATAGAAGACGCGCACATCGTCTGGGCCCATTCCCTGGCGCTGGGCCGCCCCCCGAAGAGCGCCTTCCAAGGCTGCCAGGCGGGGTCGCAGCCCGCAAAAGAAAGCGGCGCCAGCGGGTCACCCTGGCCAGCCCCGCGCGTAGAGGGCAGGCGGTGGCAAACCCCGGCCGCGCCCCAAAAGTATTGCCGGGACTCCCGGCGACTAAAAATGCTGGGGGGCAGCTCCAGCGCCGCCTTCCCCAGGCTGCGGAGGCAGGCCTCCCGGTGAGCGGACCAGTTGGCGTTTTCAGCACCCAGCGCAACTAACACCAAGTCGAGGCTCGCCTCCGCCAGGGCTCGAGCGGTGTGAGCCAGCAGTGCTGCCTCCCCAGCGCCTCCGCCAGGTCCGCCTGATCAGGGGGGCCACCAGCGGCCAGCCCACCAGTCGCCGCAAAATATTTGGAGCGGCGATGGGCCTGACCCCGCCGCCCGGCTTTCGCAGCGGCGTTAGATTCGCTAGCACCGAGGCCGCGGCGGTGCTCTCGGGAACCTGACCCTCTGTCACGCGGTCGCAGACGTCGCCGAAGGCCG